GCAGTAATATACTTTCTTACTAAATGTACCCACACATATTATATATTGTTTTTTAGAGGACAGATAGGGCTATATAATTATATCACATATGTGTACCTAACCCCTCACTTAGTTTGAATAAAATAAAAAAAATGAGGAAAAAAAACATGAAAAACACTTTTTTCACATGTTTTGATTATTATTATTTTTTTTAGAATTTTTTTGTATTAATTATAGTATAAAAAAATATATTTACATATCATTTGTATTTTCCTAATTTTGTTTTACACTTTATTTAATTTTTTTTATACCTTGTAAAAAAAAAATTAAAAAAATAACTTTTTTTTTCTTGTCAGTTTATATCAAGCAGTCACTATGACTGCTTGATAAATTAACTTTTTTTTAAATTTTTGGCACTTAGGCTGCTCCAAACTTAGGAACAGCTAATAATAACCTTAGAGACTGATCCTGACTTTAGTCAGATTCAGATCTCCCTAAAAGCTCTTTGATCGTGCCTAGACGATCAAAACTGATACATTTCACTCAAAAGATATACATTGTATCTTTTGAGTGAAAAACATCGGGCTCTCGAGCTGCCAAAACAAATAGCAGAGAGGTGAGTCACTGCTACCTCTCTGCTATTTTCAGCTGTCAAATACGGGATCGCAAATTGCGGTCCTGTATTTGCACGTAACGGCTTCATTCTTTCATTACTGAAAGGAAGAAGCTTTTACAAAAAGCTTAATTATTTCATTAATGAATGCCTCAATACTGAGACATTCATTAATGCCTGGTAACTGCTGAGAATCAGCTGTTACCAGCATTACAAAGCCTGATATAATTCGTCACGTACAGTGTACGTTGCCAGTCATATAGGCACAAAGTGCCTGGACGTACACTGTATGTCTCCAGTCATAAAGGGGTTAATAACTGCTTAGAAAAACTGAAGCAAGAGCAGCAGGCTGATGAGGTTCAGTAGTTGCCGCATCTACAAGCTCCATTAATAACTGCTTAGAAAACAGAAGCAAGAGCAGGAGCAGGGTTCAGGAGTAGTTGCCGCATCTACAAGCTCTGTTGATAACTGCTTAGATGGTTGAAACAAGAGCAGCAGACTGATGAGGCTCAGGAGTAGTTGCAAGTCTACACGCTCTGTTGATAACTGCTTAGATAACTGAAGCAATAGCTGCAGACTGATGAGGTTCAAGAGTAGTTGCTGCTTCTACAAGCTCCGTTTATTACTGCTTAGATGATTGAAGCAAGAGCAGCAGACTGATGAAGCTGTCAGGGTACCATGCACAGGCGTCCTCACACCACATGCAGGTACCCACGCAGGATGACCAAATTAATATGCCCACACAGGATAGGGTTCTATGCACACAGTTTATTTGCTACACATCAACAACACTACAAACCCCCTCAACCCCTTACAGGTTTAGCAGTGAAGTAATAAACCCACTGTTGGGACAAACACATACCTACAGCCAGGGGGAAGCAACAAGGAGGGGTAACAGGCCTGCAGATATATGGCAGGCCTCAGGATAAAAGAAGAGTGGTCAGGTACAAGCCGGGTCGTTAACAGGAGGGCAGCCGCACGGTACAGGAACAGGATCCAAGAGAGTGGTCAGGTACAAGCCGGGTCGTTAACAGGAGGGCAGCAGCACGGTGCAGGAACAGGATCCAAGAGAGTGGTTGGGTAACAAGCTGGGTCGGTGACAGGTCTGCAGACAGGAAGCAGGGTTCAGGAAGCAGGGTTCAGGTTTATGGGAATCAGTCAAGTGCAGGCGACGCAATACTGAGCCAGCTTCCTGACTGCAGGTAGGGCCTAAATACCCTCCCAGGAAGCACCAGGTGATGGGATGATCAGTCACAGCTGGGGCACACCCGCAGGTGAGTACTGGAGCTGCAGGTTCCTTACAGTCCCTGCCTGCAGGAGACACCCGCAGGCGAGCACAGGAACTGCAGGACCTGGCTCCTGCACCACCTGGGGGTGCTCTGGATCCTGACAGAAGCCCAGTAATAGCTTCTGCATTTACAATCTCTGTTAATAACTACTTAGATAACTGAAGCAAGAGCAGATGACTGATGAGGCTCAGGAGTAGTTGCTGCATGGACAAATAAAATACAGTTCCTTTTTGACTCACTTCACCGTTAGCTGAGTAACAATCCTAGTTGGTATTAAGAAATAGAAAGCTTTTTTTTTATTACATTCTTAAATAGTTGTTAAAGTTTAATTGCAGGGAATATGACTGTGAACTGTCTAAATGTTTTGCTGTCAGTCTTTGTCATCCAATTTATAATTTGGTAGATTTAATTATATCGATTTTGGTACTCAATTTATAAGACCTACTCCGAACTAGGTCTTATTTTCGGGGTAGGTCTTATATTACAGAAATCCCCGAAGATAGCACTAGGTCTTATTTTCGGGGTAGGTCTTACTTTCGGGGAAACACGGTAGTTACATAGTATTTGAGGTTGAATAAAGTCCATCAAGTTCAACCCATTGCATGTATGCATGTGACTCTGCATGTGTATGCGTGTGTATGATTCCCTGTGTGTTCTTGTTCTTACGAGTACCTGTACCCCTGCATGTTATGGTCTCTAAGGAAATCGTCCAAGTGCTTTTTGAAAGATTCAACACTCTCAGCTGAAATCACTGTCTGCGGCAGTGAGTTCCAGACCCTAACCACTCTAACTGTGAAGAAGCCCCTTCGCCCCTTGTGCTGAAATCTTTTCTTCACCAGTTTTAGGTGGTGGCCTCAAGTCTTTGTTATGGAGTTTACCGTAAAAAGTTTATCGCTGATGTTGCTATCCCCATTGAACATCTTGTACATCAAAATCATATCCCCCCTTAATCTCCTCACTTCCAGCATGAACAAGTTTAAATTTAGTAACCTTGTCTCATAGCTTTGGTCCTCCATCCCCTTAATTAGTTTGGTTGCCCTTCTCTGGACTCTTTCCAGCTCAAGGACATCCTTTCTGTGTATTGGTGACCAAAACTGGACTGCATACTCCAGATGAGGTCGAACTAGCGATCTATAAAGTGGCAAAATTATCACTTTGTCTCTACAGTACATTCCCTTCTTAATACAAACAGTACTGTGCTCGCTTTGTTTGCAGCAGCCTGGCATTGCAAGCTATTATTCCATCTGTGGTCCACTATGACCCATTTCCATTTCTGACTTCTCTAGAGGAAGAGCTATGGTCTTGAACTTCAGTAAAATTTGTGTTGAAGAAGTGAAAATCGGTATATTTGTTGGGCTTTCCAGTGAATGTTACTAATGGGGATGCAGTCTTGAAAATAATGATACAAAACATTAATCATTGTTTGAGCCCTTTATGACAACTTGCTCAATTCTGACCAACTCTCCATGACACGTCTTCTTATGCAAATGTAGTTTCAATTTGCACCAGCTGGGAATTGTGAGTTGACTTGGTCTTACTCTTGTGTTTGTATCGGTTCCTCCATAAAAGCATTTTCAAACATTGGCTGGATGGAGCTCCAGAACTTTTCTTTGAAATCATGACCCATGAAGACATAGAGAATCGGATTGACACAACTGTTCATAATGGCTATACTTGTACTAAAGTGTTTTCCGATCAGCACTACATCCTTGAAATAATTTTTGCCACCATATTTTATGGACAGTTGCAAAAGAGAGAAGATATGGTAGGGAAACCAACAGACAAAGAATACAATTATTACAGCAGCTATCATTTTAAGTGGTTTGTTAGACATGGTTGTGTAATTTCGACGAATGTGCAACAGGATCACTGTATAGCATGAGACGATTACAGTGAGAGGAAGGACAAATCCGATTATGAATCTGGTTATGCTTGTGGCCATAGATGCATCTATGTCATAGTTGTATTTGCAATGAACAGCATTTTTAACATTAACTGTATCTTTAAATATAGTATAAGGCAAGCTGAAAAGTAATAATAGGATCCAAACTATTGAAGCGACAATGGATGCCAGTCTTGGATTTCGATGATTCTGGCACCAAACAGGGAACTTTACAATGACGAGGCGATCAATGCTGATAACAGTGATCAAGAAGAGACTAGCAAACAGATTGATGTAGAAAACAGTAACGTCTACCTTGCACATAACTCTACCAAAAGGCCAATGAAAAGCCAGGGTTAAGCGGACAATTCTGAATATCAGCAGAAACGTGAAGATAAAGTCAGCTATGGCTAAGTTAAGGAAACACACAACACTGACGGTCTTTTTCATTCTGAAGGTGGTAAAAAAAATGACCAGGCCATTCCCCATGGTCCCCAGAAAAAAGGTCACAGCGCAAACCACAATGGAGATATTTTGAAGAATTTGCTGTGCAGGATTTTTTCTATTTTCAGGGCTGGCAATGACGTTAACGCTGTTGGTGATATGATCAATAATGCTTCCAGCCTGTTGAGTCACATTGGTTATTGGATATGCCATTGAGCAATTCTTTATTTTTCAAAGACAAAGATGAAATCTTATACTATAAGAAAAGAAAGAGAAGTATGAGATTAAAGCTAAGCTCCACTTTTCTGGTGCAATCACAACCCACAATTTTGTTTATCAAAATATATTTATATATTGCACATATACAAACGATTTCATTGGACAGTGCTAATTTCACAAATAAAAAATTGGTATATGCTCTTTATTATCTGGTGTTAGAGCAAATCTCTTAAAGTATATAAGTGTACTGTATGTCAGAGCAAGCGTAAAAAATAATAATAATTAAAAGAAAACTCTCTATCTATCTAGATATATATATATGTAGTCAGAGCCCCACTGATTGGTACCTGTAAACATGAAGACGATGACCCTACCTAACTTGACCTGAGGTGTGCCACGGTCACTATGGTCAGTATGCAATAAGGGGGCATACTCAGAGAAATTCTGATGGAAGGGGTACGGGAGGGTGGGATGACACGATCGTCCCGACAGGTGAGTGGGAGAACGGGGGAGCTTAAATGTGCGGGGCTCCTCCCACAAATCCGGCCAATGATTGGCCTCAAATATAAATATATATATATATACACACAGTGTGTGTGTGTGTGTATATATATATTTTGTGAGCTGGGGAATAGGTAGCGGGTGCAATTGCTCCCTGGGGTGAGCAATCGTGCAAGGTTTAAAGACCAGACCAGTGACCAAACATGTCAAGCCTTAAAATTGCGTGCGCCCGCAAAAATCGCAAAAAACGCCCATAGGCGACGATTAAAACGTTTTTACTGTTCATCAGTTTAGTGTTATCAGTGATTAAAGGAGAACTATGGGGTTAGGGCTTTTCCCCATAGTTTTCCTTAGGGTGACGGCAGGACACAAATTATCGTCCTCCCGTCACCCTAAGCTCAGTATACCGCGAGCTGCAGCTCGCGGTATACTGAGCCGCCGCAGCTGAAGCGGATCCCGACAATTATGTC